CTTTGCGTATTGTTTCTTTGGCACCAAATCTTAGGTTAGGTTGTATCATATTTAGTATACTTTGTTTGGTACCAGTTTTAGGGAAATGTTAAAGCCAAATTGTTTATGAAAATGATAGCAAGGAGGCTGATAATAAAGAGTATTGCTGATTCTTTAGAAGAGATGTTGAGTAATGAATATAAATAATCAAATCTAGACTGCCCCAAGAGAAATCTGAAGTTCCCTGAAGATCTTGCCATCTTACATGTTTTGTAGAAGAATTGAACTTTCTCTGTTTAACATGGAGTCGTAAATTCAATCAGCCAGCTCTTGTATATAATACAACTCTTGTTATTCACATTTCAGTCAATTTCAAATATGAATACATATGTTCCATAGATTTCTGGAAGGTAACAACTATTGAAAATCTTACATTCATTCTGTTAATGCCAATTTCCCATTGACTTATTTATCCTCTATTTCACTCATGAAATCATAGCTATAGTAATATTTGATTTATAGACTAAGGGAATGTTCATTGATTTTCTGCATCTAATACAGATTACAGGGGAAGGACGCAGAATGATGCATATTCAGGCATTATCTCTACTGAACTATGTTATTACACCTTAGTGACTGTTAGAAGTTGGATTCTAAGTCCAACATATCACTAAAGGCAATATTTGAATACAAAAATCATATAAGATTCAGTTCTTTTAGCTTTGTTAGATCTGATGACAGTCGATAAAGCAGGTTGGTAGAGGAACATATCATATTGTAGTTTGTTTTTCAAACAATGGCCTCTTAGGCAGGGTATTGCTGCTAGTTATTTGTCAAAATTGACAAATACAGTAAAACCTGCGAACAGGGAATGCTCTTCGGACTGGAGGAAAGTTTCCTTGTTCAGAGGTTTTCCCTATAGAGAGGGGCCGCACTTTCAGCAAACTCAGAATTGCTGAATAAGCATTTTTTGTATATATTTGGGCATTTATTGATTTTACCAATGCCGACTCCATACTTGGTTGCTAGACCTTGTTGTGACATCTTGGAAGATGTATGATGGTCTCCCACCTCCCTCCTTTAGCTGAGGGTAAGGAGCATTCTCCCGATGTTGATTTTAGCCGCTGCTGCTGGTGTATGATGATGTCTAGTTGTTGTAATTGTTGATAGATTTGGCTCAACATGACACATGTACTTATCTGTTATCTCCATAAAACAATTGTATCAATCCCTAGATTATCACAACTGATTTGATGCAATTATGTTTGTTGAAAGGAAGAATTAGTGTCATGATAATTAGTAACAAACAGATTAGTATTAGTTTTAAAATATATCAGGGTAATTAACAGTGGGTGGGATGCTACATCTTGTAAACAATTGGCTTATCTTAATCTCAATCATATTAATCCAAGCTTTTTAGAATCAGATATTGGCTTAAGACTTTCACACCTCTGAAAAATAATGGAATATACAGTGCCACCAATATTCCATATTCCTTGTTCACAGGTGAATTTTCATAATTTGCACCAAAATAGTGTTCCTTGTTCCCTGTTCACAGGTTTTCCCTACAGAGAGGGTCTGTTAACATGTAAGTCAATGGAAAAATATTTGGTTCTTTTGAAAAGCATTCCTTGTTCATAGGTTTTCCCTACAGAGAGGTATTCCATCGGACAGGTTTTACTGTATATACTTTCAGTAAGACCAAATTCAGTCATAATGATTTGGAGTTCTGATATCAAAATTTTGTTGAACAAGATTTAGGTCAATTCTAGTGATACATACTCTTGTTGTGGGAAACTGAATTGTTTTTATGAACAAAGTATTCAGATCATGTAATTCTCAGTAATAACTGCCAGCAAACTCTACATGTGACATCACAAGAGGTGCCACTTCATACACATGTAGCTGGTCATGTGCTTGGAATTAACCAATTGTCCAGTTGGAATTGCTATTTTTGAACATGTATTTTACTATTAAGGCACCTCTTGTGCAATTACCACCTAAGGACACTTGAGTTTTCAACAGATGTCATTCTGCATAAACATTTCAATTTCAATTAAGAAATATGATTTGATACTACTGAACTATGTAGAAACATAAAATGTGATCTATTAACGTATTGAGATAAGTTAAAATATATTGTTTCATGGAAATCAATTTCTGTTTTATAGTAGAAGGATAGAGTAAAATGTGATCTTGCCAATATTGAATCTTATGTATGGAATAATGATTTAATAGTAATACAGATCGAAGTTCATTCTTATTTTCAAAACATGGTCAATTTAATATAATGAGGAAAAGGACCAAGGGAATCAATATCTAACATTTCACAATTATATTATGCAAATCTGGCATTATCAAGGTTGGCATATTTAGTTCTCATTAAAATCAAATCCTGGATAATACTTTTGTGTTAATCTAGAAAATCCAGATAAGTCTGTAAGTCCTCATGTGCTGTTTAACTAACAACATGTACATATGCCTACATAATTGGATAAAGCATGAATTATTTAGCAAATTGTCTGGCAATAGGTAGCACTGATATTAGCTTGATCACACTAAGCCATGTGCTGTAATGCTGTCTAAGTGTTCCTGATTGTACCTACTGAACCATCTGTGAAAATCTCAACTGAAAATATATTTTTGTAGTGTGTTTTGTTTGCTCTATAAATTGTGTCTCAAGTTTGTTTAGTAGTTGTATTATGTATTGGCGGCTGGCTAGAGGTCAGATTAGAAGCCATGTCTAGTCATATAAAAACATACATGTTGCAAAATGTTTGTTTAATCCTTTGATGAGTTACACTTATAAGCCAGTCCAAATATAGTCTTACCAACCAAGAAACAATTCACAAAACATACATTCTTGGTACATATTTCATAGAAACTAGAAATATATAAAATTGTGACCTGATTTATATATTATCTTACATTATACCTGTACACATTGTAAATAATTAAACATTTTTCATAAAAATACAACTTTTTGATTTTTGGAAGATATATTATTGATACATGAAATGCATGAATCTAGGGCAGTTATGTAGACATAATATATAGTACTTTAATCTGGAATTCATCAAAAGTTATTGGATAATAGTTATGCATGTCAGGTATTGGCCACCTACGTTAAGTTGTTTACTTGTGTTCGGGGTGTTCAACCTTAAGTCGATAAAATCTATTGTGTATACAGTTTCTTAAGTTCTATTGCACTACGCTGGAAGGAATAATTGTCGTCTTACACATGGTTCTAATCAATGCCATATACCTATTGCTATATATGGGTATAATCATAAACGTTGTATCATCATAAATGCCATGTAGATATTCAGTCATTGATCTTGACCAAGACTTATATTTCTCTCTGGAAATATTTCTCAGCTATTATAGACTTGAAATATTTCTCTGCTATTATAATTCATTTTTCTACAAATTCTGCAAATCTATAGTCCTTTGGATATTATTGACTATTTGGTTAGTTATAGTGTCCATTTCAAGCATTGGAGTCCATAATAGAAATGTTGTAGCAATATGTGTGGATGAAATATTTAGGTGCCACGTAGTAACCTAGATCCATGAGGTACTTTAAAATTTATAGTTTTGTTTTGTTGAAATCAGATTAATATATGCATTGTCATGTTCTTTTGACATTGATCACATTGACTAATGACCAGCTACTGTCAAATGCCTCATTAATTTCCATCTAGTCTTTCAGACAAAAACCACACGCTCGGAAAATACTTTTGTCACAACAATTAATGTCTTTTTATCCTTGCCAAGATGTAGAAGTTGGATTATAGGGTGAAATACCTGCATGATAAATATAAGTATTATTGGAAATACATGTAGTATGTATAATAGGAGGATGTTTTACTCATCATGCATCTCTATACTGACTGTCTACTCGCTGATGACCTGAGTATTAGTGGGACTATTTGGCATGAAAAACATCAAATGATGCGGATTGTGGTTTTGACAGAAAAATTCATGTAGTTTTGTTCGGTGAATAATGGATTACTCTTCTTTAACCCTAACCCTTTTCAGATTCATAATCAGTGACCTCAAAATAGGCAAAAACAAAAAAAAACTTATATATAACTATATAACTTATATTAATGACCTTTAGATATCCCATTGTTGCTGTATATTAGCTTCATACTCCTGGGTCTATTTTTACAAAATTTCAAAAATATTTTTATGATTTAATTTTAGAGAACAACAAGGGAGCAACGTACTGGACAAAATGTCCACAAAAATGTTACAAAATTCTTGAGGATTTAATATTCGGTGTTGGCAAAGCTAACAATGTGGAACAATAACACAACCCCCTCCACCCTTCTAACTATCAAAATATTGTTAATTAAGTATCTAACATCAATCTCTTGCACTAGTTCCTAACATCACTTTGTCATAACATCCTCAGTTTTAAATTACCATATTTGGAAGTTGATGTTTTATCATACCTTAAATGGCATGACTGTTTCCTATTCTGTTATCTTTCATCCATTTTGTGTTGCTTGAATGAATGATTTTAAATGCTAAGATAGATATCTACCAGGATCAAACATAATAATATTGAAATGAATTAGAAACCAAAAATAAATTTTTAGATACTCATCTACAATATATATATGTTATATACATAACATGTATATACTTGTTATGTTGTATATGCTTTTTCACAAAATATTTGACATAGGGGAGGGGGTCACATATGAAATATTTTTTACATTCATGTATATACATAATCATGGTTTAGAACTTGTGGATTTAAGGAAATATAAGAAAAATGTTTGTGTTGACTACATGATCTTTAATTAGTACTATTTTGATATTACCTTCAAAATCTGTCATTTAATCTGCTCCAGCTTTTGATTTTGTAACATCTTATACCACAATCTTTTTACAGGGTGTCTAGTGTCTTTGTAAACATGTATATATTAATGACTTTGAGAATGTTGAATTCACGACCTTTGTTATTTTTTGTATTTTTGTTTATACCTCTGTATGTGGTCTCTTTCTAGGAGGTTATGTAATTGCAACCACACCAAAGAGTGGAGATGGCAAGAATGGTAAGTCAAGGGCACTCCCAACACACTACTTCTTTAAGTTTGATAGTATTATTACTGTAGGCATAATTTACTTGCAATTTCTAAATGTTGGTTAAAGGCTATGTGGTAGTCTTCATAATCTAGTCTGGCATCCTATTTTGAAAAGTACCCCCAAATAGTACCCCATTTGAAATTATTGAGACCTCAATTGTTCCAGCATTTTCAGTCAGACATAGCAGTTGATATGGGTAGAATGATGGGCAATTTGAAAGATTGGATGTCGGACTATAGTGTATGTAGTGAAGGTGTTAGATGCGCCCTCTCTCGCTGCAAGCATGCCGCAAAGCACTTAAGATGGTTACTTGGATGTTCATGATGTGACTGTCTTGTACTCTAAAATCACATTGTTTATTTATATTTTATGATATATTGGAAAGTTACTAACTGATGTTGCAAATTAGCTCATGTCACATCATATGATTAAGTGACACTGTCACTTCATATGATGAAAAGACTGTCACATCATGTTCAATTTTAGTTGACACAGAGTCAATCAAAAATATTTTAGAGCAGTTAAATTAAACATTGTGATTTTTTTCAGGAAACTCATCTGGCGGATTTACACCACTCAACTTGAGCATAATGGCTCTCCTCACCTCACTGATGCTGACCATGAGGCAATGGTGATGTCATCGTCTCCCCTAGCAACTCTCACTGCCAACTGTAGAAATGTTCAGATAACAGGAGTTAAGGAAATAATTAGGCATGAAATTTCTTCAAAATTACTTTCACTAGCATGGATGCCATCTTAGGATGGTTTAAAAGAGATAATTGGAAGTATTATTACATAATGTGTTCAAACATGAACAATCGTCATTCACTCACAAATTGGAGAACTAATCATGAATATGTCAACCCGGAATCTCAGATACTTCTATACATTACATCAACATATTATCACATAAAGGAGAGCCAGAGATACATATACTCTGAAATATAGCATGAACCATTAGTAGCACAAGTCTGTAATACATTTGGTTAGAACATTGGTTTTAGCCAAAGCTAATCATAATATAATCCCTGTGTAGTGTGCAGGTAATTAGAATTTATTGTTCAAATGGGAATAATCCCAAGATTAATACGAGGCTAGTTAAAGCCTCTTCCTAGAGCTGTTTGACTCAAATACAAATGATCATCTTCATACAGCTTCATTTTTTCATCCAATCGCATCATTTCTCATATATGCTATTCAATGCACGCTATGTATATTAAAAGAATCTGTAATATATATCTGTATTGTATATGATTGTTCTTGCTAGGCTATATGTATATTTTAAGTGATATTAAATAATATAATGTGGTAATGTATGTCACATGATATGTATATTTTAGAGCAAGATAGATGTACAAATCAACATAACTAAGTGGTAATCAAATGGCTACCAGTCAATGCCACTCTGCAGTCATGCGACACTACTTTTAGTGACGGTAGTCATATTACATGGAACCACATGACAGCAGTCTGGAAGTGCTGAATTAAGTCATGTGACAACAGTCATGTTACACTGCAGTATGCCATTGTTGGAGTCATGTCACTGTCACATGCAGGTTTAAGACCATAGTAATGATATTTACATGTACCATGTACAAAGATCAAATTTGACTCCCTGAATACTCACAATGTTATTGTAAATATATAGTTATTAGAATTAAAAATTGTATGTAGAGGTCAAACTCTCCACGTCATCATTACAAGCAATAGATCATGAATGCCTGATCATATGTTACTTGTAATGACTTATGGGATAGTATGTCCTCCACTGGATCTAAGCTAGATATTGCCACAAGCTTCCATGACAGCTTATCTAAGGTAGAACTATAAAGGTTTCATTATTCGATTGACAGAATGTCTATATATAATATGTGTAAGAGGCCATGAGCTGGGCAACAGACACAACCAGGATTTTTATTCCAGCTTGGTTATCTCTATGCCTAGCTCTATGGCATGCTATTTGCTATATGATGCATTCAAGCAGTGTATTAATGGCCATATATGCCATTGGAGATGCACACACATAGAACTCCATGTTAGAATGAAAGGGTAGAGCTAGAAATATATGACATTGACCTATGGGTGAAGAGGGCTACATTTGGGATTCATTGGTTGCTATATGTGGCATGGCATGTGCCATAGTTGGCATTTGCAGATTGTGGATAGCCATATTGGGCATTCATGGGGTATGGAATAGGCCATAAATTGCATTAAAGGGATGTAATTGCCAATATATGGCTTTGGAGTGATGTAAATAACCAGATATTGTAAATGACCATATATGGTATTGAAAGGATGTAGATGGCTATATATGGCATTGAACGATGTAGATGGCTATGTATGGCATTGAGGATTGTAAACTATGTTTCGGGTAAGGTGTATTGTACATATTTTTATTATCTAAATTGATAGCAGCTTTGAACAGCAGTTTGTAGAATTGAAAAGCCTGTTTATGTGTAGGGAAAATAGAGTCAAATCCATCAGTATATTACTGGGAAATTATTGATGCATTTTTGTCTCTTGGATGCAAAATATAAATAGCCATAGATGGTGACTTGTGGCCTTATCCAAGACACAATTACTGCTGGAAGGTGAATGATATGTAGTAGAGATTATTAGATTTCATGGCAGTCATGCATTAATCTTTGAATAAATAGCACATATTCAAATATATTCTGATATACCAGTTTCCATATGCATCCTTCTTATTGAACATTCCTCAATGTTTCTTGTAAAAAAGCATTTCAATTTTTCTCAATGTTTCTTGCAAAAAAGCGTTACAATGTTTCTCAATGTTTCTTGCAAAATGCATGACTTCTATGAGATGCAAATGAATGTGCGGGTTTATTTGGGAAGAGTTGTTGCTTCAAGTATTTTATTACACATTCTATAACTCATATTTTCTACAAATTGGATTTTAGAATTTAGATCTGAATTTTCTATCTTGTTTTGTATTATTTCATCAGATGAAGCTGTACAGAGTGTTAATGGTAGAAAGTACAGAACTGGTGTGTTCACTTTTGTATATATCTTCATTGCACAAATTCTGTACATGTGTTTATATTAGAAGTTTTATATATATGGTTGTACATTGAATGTGATACATATAGACTGCAATGTCAGTATAAAGTTAATCTATTGTTGTAGTTGTCATAGATATTGTTGTCTAAAGAGCCATCTATAATCTCTACTTAGATTTTGAATATTTTACAATTAGGTGGCGTCTTAAATTTGGTGTTGAATTTTCAAATCATGAGCTTCAAACTTTATAGGTATAAATCAATGAAATAAAATGAATTTTAAAAGTGCATCAAAACAAATTTATGAAATGAATTGTGATAACATAGCATAATATTTAAGGATTATAGTAGCCAAAAAATGAATTTTGAAATGAAAATTCCAGCATAAGTTACATTGAAGCTCGTGGTTGTAAACAATTTTTGTATAAACTTTTATCAGCATGACTATTGGTTGTACTCTACAGTATTTTAGGCTTTGTTTACCAGTAGTGTCACTGGTTTTATACCATCCTATGTTATATTTTATTCAGGTATCCATGTTAAAACTTGGTTGACCAGACATTTCTGTCAACATAGATAGAGGTTCAAATGTTTTGATGTATTTTTGAGTTCAATAAATTGGATAAACATACATGCCCTTTGCATTTGGAACTCTATTAATTAACACTAAAAAATGGAGGATTGTACAATGCATAGTGATCTGAGGTTTGAAGCGTGGCCATCATAAAGCTTTGTAAATGAATTTAAAACACTGCCATTAAATGTTTCTTATTCTTAGTTTGGAACCGAATGGATGAATAACCCTGTCTTTGATTCTTATACATGTCAGCAATGTTTTGATGGTTTATATTCTGTATAGTTTTGACATTTGATCATTTGAATATAAAACAATTTGAAAATCAAGTAGACATCAATGGACCTGTCAAAAGTGCCACTTTTGGAGTTATTGTGGGGGAATAGAAATCAACTTGACAATAGTGGCATTTTTATTTACCTAAGTTTCTATCTATTCAAAAAACAAAACAATGCTGGTAATTAGATGGTCCAACTGTTTGAAATTGTCCCTATGGTCCTGACTCTTTCACCACTCAATGGGTTGAAGATGAAAGGCTCTTGTGGTTCATCATAATGTATCCTTGTGGTCACGAACACTATTGTAAGATTTTTCAAAAAATTGTGTTGCATTTCTCCACAATTTATTCAATGAATTATGTTATATATCTGTACAGTTTATTCAAATAATTTTGTTGCATTTCTGTACAATTCAATGAAATGTGTTGCACTTCTGTACAATTTATAAAGTATATAGCTGTAATTGTTATTTTACATTCCCATTCTATATCATTCCAGATGACATCCATAGGTTTGGCCACTTTGATATTTTTTCAATTCAAGAGTTTTTCCTACATGTTTAAACTTATGTGACATATAGACTATACAGTAAAACTTGTTCTAAGGGAATGTCATCTAGACCAATTAAGTCCTCACATTTCAAGCGTTTGACCAACAAGAAAGTGAATGTGACACCTGAAAATAACAAAAATGTGGGGTATCATTGCTTCACATACACAGGTTTTACTGTATACTAATGCATCATATGATTTCACAAATTCTTATTTCAGGTTTTTAATATGTTATTATAATTTTACATCACACATGAAATAAATCAGTGTTTGGCTAATTGTAGAACATTTGTAGTTTTGTTTAATTCTAGAAAGGATCACTTAGTTTGTGGGATCTTGGGAATGTAGTACATAAACTGATAAAACAGCATTGGATCTTCTCCCAATAAAATTATTGCTCAAATATTTAAGCGTGAAATGCTTGGACTCCTTCCATATATCATAGGACTACCTCACCATAACTCAAATACCTGTCTTTTGATATGATTATTTAGCTTAGTGCCTTTTTAAAATAAGTATGCCTTTCAAAATTTCAATCAGTCATTGTTATGTCACCACAACAAGTGATGACATATTGTTATATTATCCCACCCTAAGTGCTTTGTATGATTGTATAATAGCATTGTATAACTGCAATATAAAACCAACACTCCTCGTATACAACTCTTGAGAACGATATTCAACTCCTGGATAGCGTATACAACTCCTGGGCAGCGTATACAACTCTTCGACTTGATATACAACTGCTGAATTAAGATTAACCTTTTATTGATTAAAGATTAGGGTGGGATAATAAGATCATATAATGGTTGATTCTGTATATCGTTATACTCTCGTGAGTATATGATATATTCACTCGTTCCCTTCAGTCACTCGTGAATATATCATATACACACTTGAGTATAAACACGATATACGGAATCAACCATTATATAACCTCATAGTCTCAAATTTTTTTGTCGATGGCTGTAACAAATAGCAGGTGGTGACATTTTGTATGTTCATGCCCCGTTTTGTAATGCTAACAATTTAACTGAACTAAACTGTTCTCGAATGCAATACGTTCCTTTGGTGAGGACATGTGAACTTTTAATATGAATCAATATCCGTGAATTTCTTAAGTTAATAATGACTTTGTGATAACAGTTTGCCAGTATGTATGATTAGGACTTATTTACATTACATAAAACAAAACTAGAATTCTCCAAGTTCATGCCAGTTATAGCAATTCTAGATCTAAAATGTCAC